TAAAAACTTGACCAATTTTTAAGGTACTATAAAATTTACCTATAGTTTAGCCGGTAACTCTAGGAAAATTTTTATATTAACTTTACCTAGTCTATACGCCGGTCACATCTAATATAAGTTTCCGGGTCCTATGCAGGCTAGCCCACTCTCTTTAGCTTTACGAAAATGGTTCAACGTACCTTTAATATTAAGATTTTAAACCTAAAATATTTTGGAAAGCATCTGAAAGAGAATAAACGAATATTATGCGCGCAAGGTAATTGTAAGGAAAAAAAATAGGAATAAAAATGGGATAGTACAAAAAAAAATGAATTACTATTATTCCTGAATACGAAACAAAATAAAATAAAATAAACATAAGAAATAAAAGCAAGTGGTGGGCATGAGCGTGCCATACAGCGCTAAAGTGCCCAATCTCACCTTAATAAACGATCCTTTACAAATTGAAATTGGGAGCACTTTTCGTTATTTCAGTGTTGTATTTATACAAATTTCGCTACCTCCACTTTTTTACTGAAAAATTTAAAAAATCTCAATTACACATTTTTTCGGAAACTTAGATTTCCACCAAAGTAAATTTACATGCGATTTTATTTTTATTTTTTATTTTATTTATTTTATTTCTAAAAGAGTAGTAAACTAAGTCTGTTATAAATTTACACGCGATCGGGTTTATTAAAAACGATTTTAGAAAGTCACGTGAATGAGCACGATATCAAATCAGAACAAAATTATTAGATATACAGGCCTGGTCATAAGTTTCTTTACCCCAATATTTTCCGAAGTCATGTGATAACCTATCCTAAAAATTTCCAGGGTTGAAGATCAATACTAATCTTGATCACATACAAAATTAAAGGTCCGTACAATATATAAATCAAAAGTTAGATGATCAATGAATTTTAGTTGCAAAATGTTGGTTTTTCCTAATAAATTATCTAAAATAGTTTTTTGTGCGTAAATATTCAATTGAACTAAAGTAAAATTTTGTAAAAATAGTTACTTACATTCATTATAATTAAAATTATGGCCACTTATTTGGCCAGAAATACCATTAAAATAAAGATTTAAATAATAAAAAAATTATACTATTTGCAAAAAATCCATTTTGATAGTCATTTTTTTGCTTTAAAAATTTAGCAAACCAATTTTCTTTCAGCAGAACCTTAATACCCATTTTATGCACAGTATCTATAAAAGGGATCTCTTGGCTTATTCCTATAAGCTTTTTAACAAAAAAAACTTAAAATAAATACTGCATAAAATTAATAATTTTCAACACCATTCAAAAATTGTGAAAAAATAAAAGGAAGATTATAGTATAATTGAAATTCCCTGGCTATGTATCTAATCTGATAAAAATTCTAAAGAAATGCATAATGATACTTAAAAATTAATATATCAAAAAAATATATATATACTAAAAGGTTTAATAGAGCATAAATAATGAAGGAATGAAAATATTCATGTAAAGGTGATAATATTTTATATAACACAAAATTCATCGATCATCTAACTTTTGATTTATATATTGTATGGACCTATAATTTTGTATGTGATCAAGATTAGTATTGATCTTCAACCCTGGAAATTTTTACTCTAAAGTCAAATGGTTTGACGGTAATGGCAAATCATTTTGACTTTACATTTAACCTTAAACGTTAAACAATATGTAGTTCACCTTTAAACATCTGTCCAGTCCGGCGTGCCATAGTCCGGCGTGCCATAGAAAATATGATACAGTCAAACAGTCAAATGATCCAAATGTAGTCCCATGTTACTCCACATCTTTCAACCTATCCTTTTTTGGGTATCTTTAGTGATTGACGATCAGTCACACTTTCTTTATTATTTTGTGTTCCTTTTTGTTTTTCTTTTTCTCTGTCATCTTAAATTTGGATCTCTATTTGATAATTTTTTTTACAATCACATACATTCTTTGTTTCATTCTACTTGGATAATTATTATATTTCATAGTAATGCGATGTTCAAACATTTGTAGACTTTACCATATGAATTATACGTTCTAATTTTTCTATAGTTGCAATCTAAGGTAATTAATTATATGTAATTAAAATCATTTATATTTCACACTGTAGCATTTATATTCGATTATATAGTATAATATATTCCCACAATTTTCTATCTTTTAAGACGAACCAATTAAAATTAAGGAGCTAGAATAATTTTTAATTAGTTATGTAGGACTTAGGAAGATCGGTCTCACATAACGGAACAATTTTGAGCTTTTCAAATAAACATTCAAATATGGAGAAATTTATCTACAGATTTACTACCCCACATTCCCCACAGAAAAAAAAACTATAGAAAACCTTAATAAGAAGGTTGTTCAAAATTCTGTCAATAATTGCAAAAATACATTTAAAAATTCAATAAGAAACAAAAGGCTTTAAAATGATGCAATAATAATATGTAATGACAACAGATATACGATATTTTTTTAAAAAATATTTACAATGTTGGTATTGTACATTTAATTGGGAAAAACTTTTGCAAAAGAAAGTAAAAGACTTAAATTATTTGTACAAAATATAAATAATAAACAATAAAAAGAAAAACTACCAAAAACAATTCGTTTTCATCCAATGAAAGCGGGAAATTTCGGCAACATTTCGTATCTTTCGCATCTTATCTTTCTATCATCTTACATCTAGGGTTTACCATAGGTTTACCATATTGAGTAATATCATCTTAATTAGTAAAGATTAATAAACGATCCTGCAGGTTGTTGTGATCCTTTCCATCCGGTTTTTTCCCATTATTTTACTGCGAAAAGAAATTTAAAATTATATAAAACCGGCATTTTAATTTCTTCATTTCTTTCCTACAAAAAAAAAAAAAAAAAATTCAAAAAATTCAAAAAATAACTTACACCAGAATTACTCACAAAATCCTCATTTTTTTGAAAATATATTTATTTATTTAAAGACCAATGTCGTATATTAACATATCGACATTATTACAATATCGTCCCCCTTATCCTTACAGATTTCCTTTAAGAAATTTAATTGGTTCAAATGGTAATCCTCCTTACGGATTTACAGTTTACAGACACGCTTACAATATACTTATCAACCAACATGGATATAATTTAAACATGAATAGAATATCTTTCGTCGCGTCTATATTATGGAAACAAGAGCCTGCGAATGTTAAATTATATTATCGTAATTTAGCTAGAAAAATTAGAACAAGTTCTATAATTTCCGGTAGACGTGGTAGACGAAATAACGATAGTCGAAGAATTCCTCAACCTTCATCGTCTCAACAGACTTCTCCTGTTCCGCCTGTTCCTCCCGCTTTCCCTGCTCCTGTTCCTCCTATTACCCTTGTTCCTCCTGTTACACAACGCAATACATCCGATATTTATATTGATTTTGAAGAGCTGGCCTCACACATGAATCAAGGAATCCCCTTACCCACAACGACTACTTCTGTATTTAACGTTTCTTCTTCATTTGGGACTTCTCTTTAATTTAAGTCCTTTATAATTTATATATGTATATATATATTCTTTTTTGATATTCGTAAAATAATATATCGGCTTTTTTGTATATCTTTTTTGTTAATAAAATTTGTAAGATAATTATTCCAATTTTATGTAAATGTAATAACATTTTAAATTATTTGTAATTATAGTACCTTTATGTTTCATTTATTTTTTCGGTTTTTTTTATTTAAATTATTTTTATGAAAAAGTTTTATGGTTTATAAACTTTAAATATTTTTATTTTAAAAATGTAGACAATGACGGAATTATAAACTTTAAATAATAAACTTAATAAATAAACGCGTTATCGCGTAAGATCACGTAAATTTATTTATGTATCACACTTAATAATACACCTTTTGCCAGTGGTACTGTTGGCGCTTACTACTTACTAGGAATAAAAGAACTTGTGGTGCAATGAGGATGTCTTTTCTTATTATATACCTAACCGGTTGATGAAACTAAAACATTGTCCGCTCTAATGGAACCAGAATATCCTGCAGCTTTGGGATTTTGGCCGCGGCCAAAAGATTTTTTTGGCATTTGGCGCCAAACAGCCAAACGTCCAAGGCTAAATTTTGGTCAATCGTATTAATACCTATTAGGTGTGATTGGCATTCGCGACCAAATATCTAAACAGGTTGCCAAAGCCCTGGCCAAACGGCCAACACTCTTTATATAATTCAACCAGTTGCATTTTTGTGTAGTTCACAAATATACATGTTACGCGGGAAATTTACCGATTCTGATTTCCGACGATATACCGATGTCGAATCTTGATCACGTGATATTCGACGAAGAAAGGATTTTTCATAATTTATTTATTTTAAAAATTTATATTTTATATGTAACTTTTATAGCACTGAGTTTTTATTGAAATAATTTACAACAATAGTAGTCGGCCCTTTTTATGCGAAATTTGGTACCGTCGTACCGATTTTAACATGAAAAAATTGAATATCTGTGGTATACCTTTTATAACCGCATAACAAAAATTTTTTTTTTTAGTATAACGAAGATTTTTTGCAAGATAAATTTAATAGCCTCAAAGATGGATGATTTATGTTTCATGATCATGAAATGGGCATTATATCAAATTTCTCACAATACCGAATAATTCGTTATCGCATTAACGAATTTTCTCATAACGAAGGCCTGATCGAGGACCCAGAAATATATATACAGGGGTAGGTAACAGGGCGGACATCCTTATATCACCTTGCCGATCATTTGCCGATCTTATAGTAAATTGGGTGATATCAGACTTTAAAGCTTCGGCCGAAGTCACAGAAGTTTGGCCGAAACTTGAAACTTTTATGGGTCATAGTTTAACTGATTTAAAATCAATGGCCGAAGTAATCATTCCTAATTTTAGGTAATCAAGAAGTTATGGCTAAATTTATACTTGCAATTATATTTGTTATAATCTATATAATAAATAGAAATTTTCAAAATGCAATTTCTCAATCAATTTAGTGTAAAAATTTTATGAAATTACTATCAAAATGTTTGTCTTGACGAGATGAATCTAAAAAACTAACAAAAATTAAATTTTAATCACTGGTTGTCACAATATCATTAAAATAATTTAATTTTCTAATTATTATTAAAATTCAGCCCATTTTTGGGTTTTAGTTAATTTTTGGATTTGAAAACATTAATTTTCGGACTTTGGATGAATTTTGATAACAAATAAAATTTATATAGTTAAATTTGCAAAAAAATGGTATTTTTTATGTGATAATATTAAAATAGATGATCGGCAAAATGATCGGCAATAATGTGATAATATGAGGATGTCCGCCCTGTTGGGGTAGGTACACAAAATGCGTCGCCATCATAGTGGAGTTAGACAGAATAAAGTTTTGATTTGCGTACAATTTAAAAATTTTTCGTCTATAGGTTATCAAGATTACGTATTTTTATCAAAATTTTTATATGTAAAAAATTAGTTTGCGTATTTTTTTGGCTTAAATTTGGCTAATCACATATATATATAATAATATATTTACTGTACGTACTTGTTCAGTTAAGCGCATTGTAAATTTCTGAGGGTTGAAAAGTGAAATTTCGACTATTTTGAAAAATATTATTGAAAAAATGGGTAAAATAGGATTTTCACAATACAAAAGCCAGATTAAATAATTAATACAGTATGAACTTAATGTCTGAAATTTTATTTGCGTATTTTTGCAGGATTTTCAATATCAGGTGTCAATTATGCGTACTACTCATATAAAAAGTCTCTCATAGTAAAAAATTTTATCGCCACCTGACCTCTACATACATATCCAGGACGGCTACTTTGTTATATCGAGGGCCGATTGTATTTTCGCGTGCATTGATATACCGAGCTTAGATAAACAAAACTCAGATGACCTTTGAAAAAGAGATGTAATCCCCTATATAATATATGCCTTTCGTTGGAATAAGACCTTTTTCTTACAAAAATACCTATAATCGTCCTTTATAAACGTGATCAACAACAAAGCATACGCATAAACACTTTCTCCGGGTTGTTGCTAACGTTGGTCCATTACAGCCGCGGGTCCTTTTAGGTAGCGAGCACTACTATTTGTAACTTTCGGGCAGTATCAGGATCCCCGGATATTTATAATAGAGGGCATATCCATGATACTCATTAGAATTCAACCTATGACTTTATATAATATTAAAAATACCCTTTTTTAGCATATAACTTTAATATATTTACATTTAAAATTTTTTCATTTATTTATTTAATAATAATTGTAATTTATCTTAATTTGTTTTACATATTAATCACTCCATCCTTAAAATATACACTTTTATAAAAACTTACATATGATCTCAAGATTTCATTTAAAATTTTATATTTTCTTTTTACTATAACCTATTTTGTAATACTCTATTTTTTGCATATAACATTCTCATATGACTTGCTTATTAAAAAATACAAAATTTATACATGACCTTTACTATAATTATCCGGGTCCTATTCCATCCATTAGCAGTAACGGCAGCGTTAAAATTCATGAAGCCAAGTTATAAGGTCCTTATTGTTACAAGTGAAGGTTGTGTTCAAATTAATAACAGCGTTTTGAGTATTTCTCGCTTGAGCAGCCCCTATAAATATTTTTTTAGAAAATTGATCACATATCGGAGTTTTTTTGGAATGAAAACTAGAAAATGATCATTTATCGGAATTTTCCCCAGAAAATTTATTATAGGGAGCAGCAGTTAAAGCTCGAGTATTGGCTGGTTGAACTTGATTTGGACGACTTAATTGCGATACTTGATTGTTAGACATTGTTCTTTTTTTCAGAAAGTCGGTCGAGATACAGATGTTCAGAGACAAATAAAAGCCAAAATATTTTCAATATTTTTGCGACTACCTGTTATAAGAAAAAGTATTATGCTAAAATTTAGTGATAAAAGAAGAGAATTTTGTGGATATTGGAATATCGGGTGATGAAAGTGGTGTGATAAAAGAGAGTTCGTTCGTCTTCGTTAATATAATGGATGAATAAAATTATGAAATCTTTCTCGAGCGGTGTAGATTTGATGACCAACCGGTCATAGGAAAGGGATATCAATATTCGTGAAAGTATCATATGGTCTATTAGAGAAAGATAGGTTGGGGATTTCCAATTCCAGAATCATAAGAAACGGAGAGTTGACGGGATGATAAATTCGGCAGAATTCGTCAGGAAATTCAAATAAGGAAGCACTAGGAATCTAGGATATGTTTGGTGAAGTTGATCGTGGTATTTCAGGTTCATACAATAGAGATCAAGTGTCCTTTGTTTGTTAGTCCAATAGGAGAGTCACACATTTCGGGTTTGGTTTGTTTCTAGGAGAAGGAACCGATTGTTTCGAAGGTAAGTAGTAACGAACAATGGAGGATTATGCAGGTTTACGCGAAAATCGGCAAAATCGGACGACTTTCTCACTCAATACTGCACTCGGTATTGTACGTTGGGAATCGTCAGGGATTAATATACAAACACACGAAATTAGTTAAAAACAGCATTGGGGAATATACTGTAATGTAATGTTAATGTTCCGTATCGAACTGGTTATATGTCTTTCTATATAATAAAAAAAAGCTTTGATAAACCTTTAATAAACCTTAATAACCTTTAAAAGGGAGACGAAAGAATGAAAAATCTAAAAAAAGAAAAGTACATTATAAATTGAAAATTGAAATCAATTGAATTAAAGAAATAACTCTACATCCAATGAAATAAATGTAGAATATTATATAATATATTATATATATACATATATATACTAGAAAAAATACAAATTTAGGACTCAAACAATTTCCTTTTATTATTATTATTATTATTTTTATTTTTTTTTTTTAAAAAAAAAAAAAAAATCATGATTGAGAGGAAAAAAAAAATATTTAGTTGAAGTCCTAATAAAGTCGTGAATTTTTTGTTTTCATTAATAAGAACATTATTTAAAAACATTATTTCGATTTCGAACATTATTTTTTCTTTCCAAATTTTTTTTTTAAAGTGACTAAAATTACAAATTTTTTTTTTCTAACGCTAGCTAAGACATAAATTTAATTGATCTTATTTCATTTGCTTTAATTAGCTCAACCACTTCAACCACTTCATTAAAATACAAAATTTCAAAAAAAAAATTCCTACGCACTTACATTAACAATTATGCCAATAACGAGAAGTCTTACATCAATTCGTCGAAGTCGTGATCCAGAATTTCCAACAGAAGAAGAATTGGAACAAGCATATAATCATGCTCGTTTAACATTATGCTCGCAAGGATATAACTTAACTGAAAGGATTGCTAGAGAATTGTATGATCCATCAATTAATGATATTAATGATATAAATAATATTCAAGCTCTTGAAGTTGTTATTATAAGCAAATTTTTAAAAGCTATTGAAGATGAAAGGATAAATATGTTTAGAAGAAAAGAAAACAATAATGGGAGAAGGAATTATGTGATTAGATATGATAATCTAAATAAAAGAGAAATCATTTTAATTGATAACGATGATAATGATGATGACAACGTTGGCTACAACGATGTTAATAACGATAACAACGATGTCAATAACGTCAATAACGACGCGTCACAAATACAACGAGACAACACAAATGAATCAATAGTAGTATATGTCTTAATTGAATCTCATAATATTTCTAAAATTAGAGGGAGAAAATTTTTAATTTTAAATTTATTAATTTTTTTAGGGTTATTTTTTTGGGGGTTTTTTTTTATTATTTTAAACAAATAATATATTTACAGTCTACAATATATAACTTGACTTCAGTTCATGTTTCTTTCATAAACTGATTGACATAATAAAGAAACACGATCAGAATTTTTTTGTAATAATAATATGCTGATAATACAATTATTTTGTTCATAATATTCGTAATTTCGTACCCTAGGTAAGATCATCCATAAACTCTTTACGATTATTTGTTTTGTTATCCCAAAAAGACGACCTATAATTAATAGACAATTTAAAATCTTAGAATAATCTATATTAAGAACATGGTGACTTTACGAATTTCTTAGTATCATACAGTAAAATTTAAGTAATAACAAAACACCAATCTCGTCCTTTGCCAAGGATCAACATAAAATACGATTCTTTCGATGATCCAATTTAATCTTTTGATGAATCCCTCAGTATTTTTGACAGGCAGTAAACAATAATCATTTCAATGAATAATTACAATCAATAACTAAATAACAATAATATTAATAATGTTGCACAATTCCTTAACATGAAATAAATATGATCGTCCGCAACAATATTATCGAAATTGATGTACTGTATAGAGGAATAAAATAATAACGTTTATACAATTTCTTTTATCAAAATAATCTTTATAAAAATATTATTAATATGCTGTATTATGTTGTATGAATTTCAACATTTTGTGCCAAATCTGTTTCAGACTCGAGTTTGTTTTTCATGTTATGAAAAGTAATTTTTAATATATATATGCACTATGTCAAATGATTTTATAAATTTTTTTTCTTCCTTCATATATACATATATATATATATATAACATCCCTTTTTTTCGAGCATATTTACTTTGGCTTCAAACTTATTCTCCTAAAATCGTCAAATACATAAAGAATAATTATGGGTTTTATAGAAAGAAAATTGATGATCCAAGACTCCAAATTTCGTTTTGCAGTTCTTAGATATTGGCGTGACTTGGCACGACCATTGAAGTTACTACCTATATGTATCATTTTATTCATAGAATGGGTCAGGTTGACCCCGTCAAAGCCGGGTGAAACCAGTAGGGTCATGGTTTTACTACGGTACAACCAACTTAATTTTTGCAATTTAGCTTATGCTGCATAGAGTGATAATCGAACTAATGCGGTTAGTCCTTTTACCTCTAATTATTAAGTACGACATTTTCATCCTTAGCACAAAATTTCGGCTTCCGATATCCAGAAGTGTTTATTATTGCATATTATAATATTCAAATTTACTTTTCATGAAAACCAATTAATATCGCATTATTAAGAGCTTTAAAGATTATGATCAATTAATTTAAAAATAAAATTATTATTTCACAATTATAGTAATAATTTACTTTGCGTAACAAAAAATCGACAACTTTTATGATAAATTTTTTATGGAACTTTTTTCTTTTTAAATTAACAGAAGAATGGGTAGCAATACGCGAAGAAATCCATATTTATACATATTATTTATATTCTCAAAAGATTTAACAAACTAATAAACCTAGAGAAATTATTAACGGAATATTAATAATAATTATTGGATGAGTATCGGTCTTCGAAGTCCGATATCCCCATCCAATAACTAAGTTATAGTTAGAATATTGCGGTGAACTATAGGTAGTGATATGCATTGGAAGCTTCCAATGACATTTTATTAGAATTGGAAGGCTTGGAATTAGAAGAATTGAAAAGATTTCAATATTTCTATACATTAATTTTAATATATACGAATATTTATTTCTATGTACATTGGAAACTTCCAATAAGAATTTATTGGCATTTGGAAAGTCTTGGAATTGGAAGAATTGAAAGAATGCACATCGTTGCCAATATTATAAAAATATCGGTCAGTAAAATAGTAAAATTCCGAATATTCCTAATCAACTGAAAAAATAATTTCAATTTAGTTTTGATACAAACAATAATTTATACATTTATTCTATATATAATTTTAAAATATTTTTTTATAATTATTACTCTATAAAAAATTTTTTTTATCGGAATTTCCTTGGAATACAAATTAGAAAAATTGATCATTTATCGGAGTTTTCAACAAACTCTTTTTTTTTTTTTTTTTTTTTTTTTTTTGTATACCCGCAATTATAATTTGTATAATGGATTTTGCGCCATAACGCGTACCAGATGAATAGTAACCTATTTTTATTAATTAATATAAACTAATTGTCTGGAGCGAAATGGAGGACAAAATGTACATGTACTGTATTGTCTACATGTGTTGGACACCGTGGTGTTCTTTTCTGTTGATTCACGTGACCATCACCAAATATTCGCGTTTACCCCGGGCTTACAACTGTTTCCGTTTTCCGAGTTTTGTAAGTAAATTTATGCACATAAGAACGAATTGCGAATTGCATATATTCTGAGAATTTCTAATACTGATTAAATAATGGTTTTTTTAAGTTTTTAACTATAAATTATTCATTCTTAATGTACAAGTTCACCCTGAATCCTATGGGCTGGGGATTAAAAATCGTTACAATGAGAAATTCAGGGTCATTTTATTATAAAAAAAAATCTGTACCTGAACTTTTCTTCATTATAACAAGTTATTCACTATATAAAAAATTCATTATAGAGAGGGAGAACTGTACCTTAGCTAGATAAATATCAACATAATAATCCTAAAGGTCAGATTCATATTTGTGAACATCACCACATTTGACACATTTGACACAAATTATCACTAAAGCACAACATATGTACTATATGTATTGTAAACATTATTTATTTATTTTAGCGAAGTGACAAGTAAATTGATTTGGTAACTTTTTAATAAACAAAAAAAATTTGGGGAATTAATTTTTGGTAATTCCACGAAAATGAAAATAGTTTGGTATATCGATTATCATAAATTTATGTAATATGTAAATATGTTAATTCCGGGCGAAATTTACCAAAAATATATAAAAAAAAAATAAAAAAAAATATATATTTATATATACAGTATATATATTTATATAATTAAATAATAAACTTTTTTAATAAACAAAGAAATGAATTTCGTTAATTTCGTTGTTGTTGTTGTTGTTATTTATTATTATTAATTATTATAGTCGCAGTTATTATCATTATTATTATTATATTCATCATCATTATTATTATTACTATTATCATTATTATCATCATTATTACCATCATTATTAAAATTATTATTATTGGCATTATTATTAACATTATTATTAACATTATTATTATTAGTATTATTATTATTATTTAAATTATTATTATTTGTTTGTTGTTGGTTTTAATCGTATCGTATATATATAATATTTATATATATTCTTTTGTTATCATATTCCTTTGATTTTAAAAAATTTACGAAAATTATGAATAATACAATTTATTGTCAAAAAATCCGGGTACCAAACAAAAACATGGTTTCTGTTTAACCATGTTGAAAACCAATTTGGAAGTTGGAACATATGCTGAATATATTCATATCCGAAAATTCAATCATCCCAAAACTTAAATCCTAGATTTAGATATTGAGGATTACAATAACTAACCATAACTAACCACAACTAACCATAACTAACCACAACTAACCACAACTAACCATAACTAACCATAACTAACCACAACTAACTATAACTAACCATAATTAACTATAACTAACTATAACTAACCATGACTAACCATGACTAACCATAACTAATCATAACTAACAATAACTAACAATAACTAACAATAGTTATTATACCTTCCTTCTAATAATATTTTTAGTGATCCGGTAAATCACCTACAATTTCAGTACAACTAATCAGTTTTACATATTAGTGATGTAGAATGTAAAAATACTAATTTAGAGTATAGGGATATGCAAGTTGATAACTTTAAAAAAAAATTCGCCAACTTTAAAAAAAAAATTTCGGCGAAATTTTTTTTTTTTACCAAAAATGTTAAAAAAATTCGGCAATTTTTTTTTTAGCTAAAATGTCTAAAATGTGTTCAAATGTATCTAAAATGCTCGGTAATAGTAAATTTTAAACTTTTGATGAATTACATTTTTTATGTTACGAAAGTTACGAATAAAAAATAAAAAAAAAACATTTATCAATCATAAATTTTACGATTAGATGAAAACAACTCATGGAACAACGAATTAAAATTCAATAGTGATTTATCTAATATTTGATATTTTAATTTCAATAAATTAATCTTTGATGAATTACATACAATGTTCTACGTTACGAAACATTTATCAATCATAATTTTTATGATTAGATGAAATTCATAGTCTAACGAATTAAAATATCATTACGTTTCGCCTAATAAAGACGATAAATGAAAATCTTTGAAATCTTTGGAATTTTCAATAAGTGAATTATTTTAATATAAAATTCGGAATTTGAAATTTAGTTTCCGGTATTCGATATCAATAAATTTGATGAATTGCATACAATGTTCTACGTTACGTTACGGAAATAAAGAAAAAAACATTTATCAATCATAAATTTTATGATTAGATGACAACGAATTAATATTATCATTACGTTTCACCTTAATTTAATATAGGTTCGGAATTTGTAATTTTTAAACATTTATGGATTCAATAAAATTGAACTTTTTGATGAATTGCATACAACAAATATTCTACGCTCATACGAATAACAAATACGAACAATAAATACGAATAATAAATACGAATAACAAATACGAATAACGAATACGAATAACGAATAACGAATAACGAATAATAAAATACATTTTTATCAATCATGATTAGATTTCAAACGAATTTTAATATGATATTATTAAGTTTCGCCTAATAAAGGCGTTAATTCAATTCAGGAATTTTTAATAATGTTTTTAATTTTCTTAATTTAATATAGGTTCGGCATTTGACGAAAAAAACGCCAAATTACAACATAATTTTAATTAAAAGATTGATCAGCCCAAAATTTTTTTAAAAATGTTCAAATCAAACTTTTATCTTCTAATCGCTTAACTATTTTTTATTTTAATTCACGATTTTTAATTTAAATTAT